ATTGTAATAATAATAGTGATAGTGATAGTGAGAGTAATCGAAATAGTAATAATAATAGTAATAGTAATAGTAAGAGTAATAGTAGTAGTAGTAGTAGTACTACTACTACTACTACTACTACTACTACGCGCCGGTCGCGTTCGTGACGTATATTTTTTCCCCATGCGGAGGCATGAAGTACTGTAATTTGGAGTAGTTCTCGATAATCGTATCTCGCAGTTGCCTTTGCTGATTTTGAGGGTTTTTGGGCACAATCATTAACTTGTAACTAACAGTTACAAGTTGTCATTGCCCAGTCGAATGTTCATGTACATGTTATCTCAGGATATCACATTGCCATATTGCTGCAGGAGTAGGGGGCCATGAAGCGCGCGCTCGTGAAGGGGCAAGCAGGTTCACCGGTGCGTAGCGTGCGGAGCATGCGACCATCGTGTGGACACGTGTGGTTCGCGTGCCGGCAAGGAGATCCAAAAGTTGAGACGTGAACTGAAGGGTCTTCGGTTTCGAGCAGGCATCAAGAAGAAGCCTGGCAGGGATGGCAGGAAGGACAAGCGTCACAAAACCGTTGCTCAGCTGCAGTACAGTGGCAAAGCCAACCGATATGGTCATGATGCTCTTGATCGTTTGAGCGGTGGCGGGGTGGAAACTATTTAGGAATACTCGTGTCAACCCGTGGCAACCCGTGGGCGGATGGGAAGATGAGGCGTGCCTGGGACTAATGGGGCCATGACAAAATTAAATCAGAACTCCTGAAACCCTTGGACTGATGGGGCGTACCTTGGACTAATAGGGCGATGATAAGATTAAATCAGAACTCCTCAAACCCTTGGACTGATGGGGCGTACCTTGGACTAACGAAAAGAAGTGAAAAACAGTAAAGAGGACTTTGCTCAAAAATCGCGCGATACCCCAGTTTTAAGCAGGCGAAGTGGAGAAAACCACACCGTCACAAACGTAACCGATACGTCGTAGTAGTAGTAGTAGTAGTAGTAGTTGTTGTTGTTGTTGTTGTGATGGTGACACAGAAGCTGCTGGGTACGGTCCTTGACTTCCTTGACCTTGTCGTAGAAGCTAGTCCACACATCGCCTGCCATCCAAGCCATGGCTAAGAGTGCATCCAAGATTCACACACTCCCCCCCACTCCCCCCCACTCTCCACGTAGGCCTCCCTTCTTATCGGCGCGCTGGCCGGCCAGAGCATTGATGTCATCGGTGCGCATGCCATCCTTATCCTGCACACTCCCAGGTTACAATGTGGCCAGACCTGCGCAAATGACTCTGACAAGGCCTGGTAGATGTCGATGGCTGTCTTGCACTTCAGCTGGGTCGCTTCTACCAAGTACTTCATTGCCTCAATCAAGTCTAGCGGTAATTTCGATTAGTTCGTTGCTGTTGGCCAGCCAAGTTCCCCACATGTTCGCATGACACTGCAGCCTTGGAATTTTTGTGCCTCAGCCGTCCAGCATGCTTGCTCATCTGCGTTGGTCTTGAAGAACTGCTGCCCAGCACGGCACTTTGCAGGTTCACAGCCGGGGCGCTTGTCCATCAAAACCATGCTCATGGCCTTCTCTATGTTCTCAATGTCCTAGCATCAAGGCTGCATGGTCGTTGTATGTGCACGGTGGCGGCGCTGGCTGGAAGGCCTCATGCGCTGAGCGCAGCTGCTCGAGGACAGAGAAACTCATGGCTGCTGGCCTGCAGGAAGACCGGCAAATTGACATTGACATGCTGGCGCACGCAAAAGCATCTTCCTTCGATGACATAAGGTCAGGCAGGTAGATGATACTAAGTGATTTATAGTGGAGAGTAGAGTCTGCGCATCGGTCGCGTATGTAGACCCTCATGGATCCAGGCGTCAGCGGACTACAAGCAATGCGAGTTCACTGAGCTCATCTCAGCGCACCTGGGGTCCTCCAAGTGGCCCCTGGTATCCGACAGCCCTCTACGTACGCATCTTGAGCCGTGCATCAGCATATGTGAGCTCACCTTCCGTGGCAGGCGCACAAAGCTAGGGCAGATGCGTCTGCTACAAGCAGCCGGAATGCACTCTTTTGCAGGTCAATTTGGTTGGCAAATTCGACACTGCGGAGTTGTCAGCGCAAGCTCCTGCTATGTACCTTCTTCATTGTAGTGGTCCTGTATCGTGCTACCGAAACGCGCCTCAAGGGCTGTATAGCTTGCCTTAGTCGTGCTATCTCTGATGCGAGGAAGTCGCCATGACAAGGGAAGCCTGAAAGGGTCTGGAGCCAGCAGCTGATTCACAGGAGTTGTTCATGACCTGTCTGTGTCGTGACCACAAATCTTTGGCCGCCGTTTCACATCACGCAGCTCCGATCAAGAACAGCTTCCTTTACAAAAGTGAAGTCAAGACATCTTGGAAGAGTTGCAGCTTGAGAGCTGGTGAAGGAGGTCGGCTGTGGCCATCGACATCAGGCCAGGACGAAGATGAGACTCAGACACTGGATTGCTCGACTCAGTCTTGGTCCAGGAGCAAGACTCACCTTGACGAGAATCCACAGCAAAACATGCCAGACTGAAAGCAAATAATTATCTATGATCCCTGGTCAGATTCATGGCAGCTATCCAGGGACCCACCTTGCATCTGACATGTCGTTTGGGTTCGAGGAAGACGCAGCTCCAACCCCGCTTGCTGGTGCTGGGCGCGTTTCCGGTGCCTGCAGGCCACCAGAATTCCAAACAGCAAACAGCCAGGTACTTCTCAGCAGACTGAGGTGCCCACGGAGTCTCCTAGAGTTCCACCTGCACCAAACAGCCTTGCGGGTCGGCGTGGGCCACAGTGACAACAAAAACAGAGCAGAATGACACATAGTCTCTCCAAGATCCTTCTTGCTAGGCTTCCGGACACGAGCGGCGCAGGTGGCTCGTCCTGCGGAGCTGCGGGAGCCGGCCCACCTGCGCTTGTCCGCCATTGCTTCTCTTTTCCTGATGGGCGCGTCTGAGCAGAGGGCTAGTTGGGCTTGGCGACGGAGCTGCTGCTCCTTCCGTCAGCAAATGTTGTCAGATCCATCACCACTGCTCCTATTGCAAGCAACGTGCGTGCCTGTCTGCGCCGCCGCCGCACGGTTCGGCTTGAACAGTGTGACGAACACGTTACCCCAAAGATACACCTGTCCATTCACAGATGCGGTGTCAACTGGCACTTAACACATAGCAGGTGAATACGCATACCAAATGTAGCCAGAATTGATTGGGTGGCTTGGCCAAGAACACCGCCACGCAGGGCCAGAATTTGGAAGAAATTGATGTCGGCTATTTTGCAGTGAAGTCTTACATTGCTGCTGCCCCAGACTAAGCCGAAGCCTGGGCAAAGATGGCAAGAAGGCCGCCAGCAATGATCTTTGGCTGCAAAGGTTCCACCTACATCTTAGGGAAGCACACACTAGCCCCAACATAGACCTTATTCTAATCTAGTAGTTTCCATGCTCTCTTCCATCATTATCCCTAGTTATTATTCTGTAACCCCAATATGTTCCCATACACCAGTTCAACAAGAGCTGCTCTGGAGATGGCCTGAGGCTCGTCTAGGAGTCGCAAGTCATTGTCCTCAGCACTGTTCGGGGGACTTGGCTCCTGTACTCTTTCCGTCCTTTTCAGCCGGGCCCGTTACCGGTGGAGGCTCTGGAGGTGGTACGTAGCGCTGCCGATGCCTGTTGTTGGGGAAGTTGCGCTGCTTGGGGAAGCAAATCCATAGGAGTCCATGAGACTGACATGTATCTTCCGGGTCAGGACAAGCTGCGGCTCGTTTTGTACACGATGGGAAATCACATGATGCCGCACTGTGACATGGCCGCCATGGTCACCTGGACACAAAGGGTCCACGGATTGACTTCACACCTGCTTTCTCTGAGAATCCAAAGTCAGTATGACCTTGGACGTGGGGCACCGAATGCGTCACCGTCTCCTGGAAGAGCATTGTGAGGCAGTATGCCCAGAATTCAAAGTCTGAGTAACAAATACGTAACACTTCATGCAGCTTGGCATCTTCGTGCTCCGAGTACGACATTCCATGGCCTTTCTCCGGACAGCTTAGTGCACATACAGGAGCACATACAAGATGATCTCTCCAGTGTCTATGCCAAGAACGGAGAGCAGTAGGGCAGGTGCCAGAGTCCTCACGGTGATGATGGTGATGGCCATCATGGCCGTGCTCATGATGATGGCTGACCTCGTAGGATCTCCGTGCACTCTACAATCGCCAGGTTTATTGGTTTTCTGCTTTCCCACAGGAATGTGATCCAGCTCGTCTGAGAGACTCGCGTGGTGTTCATGGCGCACAACCATAGGCCCACTTCCATCACCCTGTCAGTCCAAGCACCACTCACAAAAGGTGTCGGTAGCGCAGCCACGGCAATGAAATGATTTCACAACATGACGTCACCTCACTTGACAGGCCTCCATCACCCAGTACTGGACTTCCTCTTCAGGGTTGTCGTCAAAGTCGCCAGTTGTCTGCAGATGATGATGTGCAGAAAGAACATCCGTGCAGACAGCAAATGTCAGCTATAGCACAGATGCATAAGTGAGCGAAGCTCACGTTTCTCAAAGCTAAGCTTCCTAGGTCCAAGGGAATTAGCATCCTAAATCCAGCACACATTGAGCTAAGCACGTTCCGGAAGACACGCAACAGCACGCGCCGCAGAAAGTTTTCTGCAGCTCTGGCAGTTGCTGCAGACACTCCAGCCATAAGTGGCAACCATCAACCTCTTTCTTACCATACCTATGCCGCTGATTCTCGAGCCCAGCCCATGGCTTGACACCCCGACCAGAGAATGAAGCTGGCTTCAGGTATATCATGGTAGACCATGGGCCTCTGCCGGATCATCAGGGATGATCTCATTCTTTGCCTAGCACACTGGGCAGGCTGAACTTGAAAGTGCGCTTCAAGAAGACGCGGCGAAAAAAAAAAAAAAAAAAAAA